AATTACATTAAATGTTATTACATTTATTCACCGAATATAGTATGGAAACTTACTGTTAACCAGTTAACAGGTTTTTACTGTAGCATTTTTACACTCTTTTGCTGTTAAAATCACAATCATTTTTTACAGTGCACATATAAAAAAATAACCATGCTCTATTGTAAGGGACGGTACATACCCACATCAAACTCAAAACCCTTCTCAGTGAAAGTGTGACAGCAGCCTCCGGCCACGTCGTGCTGCTCCAGCACCAGGACTCTCTTCCCCGCTTTGGCCATTGTGGCTGCAGCCGTCATTCCTCCGATCCCACTGCCTATTACAATTGCATCAAGATTCTTTGGAATCTTCTCCTTGGTAAATCCTAGAAATACATACAGTAATACATTATATGCATATAGGCTATTGTACTCAGTTGTGTCAGGGAAAAAGCAAAAATACCTACTTCAAAGCAGTGTTCATGCAATCTTATGTAACATTTTACTGCAGAAACACAATGACTGATATGGGAAGTGAATAGTCCATTCCTGATCTGGGTTAACTCCCAGCATTCAGTGCTCAAAGTGGGTGAAACGGATGGTTGGTATATTATGAAAAGGCCTGATAAGGAGTTAGTAAGGCCACAAGATATCACCAAGTACACTATTATCTTTGTAAGCCCTAAAACACTTCAAATAAGAGGGTTGTCTGTGATGTACAAGTGTTATCACAGTCAGCTAATCTAATTAAGATATCGGCATAGCCATTGACACACATGTTAATTGTTTTACAATAGCATTGACAAGACTTTACATAATTAGATTAGCTTAAACAGTCTACATGTTCTGTTTCGGTGCATATTATGTGAAATGGCTATTACTTCTTTTCAAGGTTATGAGACGCACTGTATGTAATATGTATAAAAGAGACTTCTAATTGAATTTGAAGAAATTCTGTCACCATTTCCTAACTCAAGCTATTCAAAACACTTCTGTTGAACACATATAAAAACACACACTAAATAAATAGTAATGCATGAATCATATAGATCACATTTATTTGTCATTTTAGAGCTTGATAGCCCTCATTCAGTCAATCTTAAAAGTATATTTTTAAAAGACTAACCTAATATTGATGAAACAAAAGGCCACTTAAGTGTACTTAAAGTATACTTTCATGACTACATTACTTAACACACTTAAGTACACTTCTAAAGAGTTAAAGTACATTTTAAATTCTTCTGAATTTAATTGTAAATAACATGCAGTAAAGTGTCTGAAAACATTACCTTCAGTTTACAATGAAGTATATTAAAGTATATTATTTCTGGAATAAGTACACTTTTTGCTAATATGTACTCATTGCAGTATATGCTGTTTAAAAGAGTGGTCACAATACTGCTAAAAATGTTACATAATCAAATCAACAATTTTTGTTTAATATAAATTATTAATCTATGCATATCATTATTTAAACAAACAAACAAACAAAAAAAATGTTCCCTCATCATATTTAAACAAAAACATTAACTTCCCCTCTTCTCTGATGACGTGCACTGACGTGAGGGCGGGCAATAACCTGTCACTCAAATGAGGTCATAGCAATTAGCAAATGACAATGACTCTAATAAATCCTTGGACAAAATGAAGTCCTGTCCTACTTTTTTCTTTTTCTTCAAGCCATTTCATTCAGAAATACATCACAATAGAGAAGAAAATGTTACAATTTATGTTTCATGGTGACTTGAACTATTAACACTTCACTTAGTTTACATATAAAAAGAATGCTGTATTCTGTGTATGCTTATAATGTTTTATAAGCTCCTTAAGTGCATTCAGCAGAAACATGCTCATATGTTGCATTTGAAGATTAGCTCACATTAGATTGTCCATTTGCTTTTAAAAGCTGCAGATTAGCAGAACAGGCTTAAATGACACTCCCAGGTCATTCTGAGGTCAAAGGAGCATTTAAGCATCTAAAGATGTCTGGATATTCACCTTGTTTCAGCACTTTGTTTCTCTTCCTCTGGTCCAGCTCTAAAGGTCCTGGAGGCCTCACTGACTCCACTGTAAAAGGACTTGGCTTACTGAACAGGTACCAGTATGTTCCACCAGCCCAAATCAGGACGCACACCAAAAATATCAGCAGCCACATCCTGAAGAACTGAGTCTGTACTCACTTTGCAACGTCTAAAATCTATCAACTCAAATCTTGAGTTTTCTTTAAAAACAAAGACTGTTGCACATATAGGAAAGCTACGGGAGTTATGGAGAAAAAAGGAGAATGTGCATCACAGCGGAAAATCTCTGCAAGGACTCTTGATGAAAGTCTTCTTTTATACGCAAGCAAGGAGCAAAGGTCTCTGCAATGAGATTGCAGTGAAGCAACACTCAAGTATCATATATAATCGATCAAGATAAGGGTGGTAATATTTAATACATGCTTTAGTCAGCATACAGATCCAAAGCAGTCCTCTTTATGTAAACATTTATGTTAGGGAGGTAAACAATGAATAATTAGTTTACTTTGTTTCAGGCACAATGAACCCCAGAAAGTATTTTTTGGGGTAGGGGCGTGTTTGTTTTGGTGATTTCAAATATCAACATTGGCTACCAGAAATCACTTTCCCTGCCTTTAATGTGATGAACTGAACTCATACATCCGATATAAATCACACTGAGACCAGTTAATTAAAAGTCATTGCAAAAATGGCCCAGAAAATGAAATTAGTTCTGTGAAATACATCAACAAATCATCACAATTTTCAATCAAAAGTAAATCAAAGTAACTTATTCAGGACATTCAATGAAGCCATTCCTTTGGCTTTATTGTACATTGTGAAAAATTACTTTGTTATTATTATTATTATTATTATTTTAAACGATATTAGTACATATGCAATATCTGTGTGGATTAAGATAACGTTTAAAAATAGGATTTCTTTTGTAATTCTTCCCTCTCTAAAAAAAATATTAATTAAGAACAAAGTCACATATATTGATCTGGTGAAACAGCAAGTGGCAAATGAGCACACCAACACTGAGATTATGTAACACTGCTGTTGCTCAGCTTCTCTATCTATGTCTATCCCTTTAAATACTAATAAAACATTATTCACTGATGAATCTTCAGGCAATCATGAAGCACCTCAGATCAGCAGAAGAGATTCAGTTACTTCATGAATGTAGAAAAAAATATTGTTTTTATCAATCCCGCTGCAGTGTTCATGTGGCATGATCAGCAAAATGGCTTTATCTTCACGACTCAGCTGCTTTGAATTTTCATCTTGTTAAATTTAGTGTTACAACAGTGTAGAAATTGATACTTCTGGTTATCATGACCAGATAAGGTAATTAAGATGACTAAATTGTGAAAAACCATATTGTGCTTTGTATATGCACTATGTTTATCTTTATGACTTTATGACATACATCTCTTGATAAGGTTTTCCAGGTCCAATTAAAGTAAGTGCAAGTCAGCCTGCTTGGGTTTTACATTTATGCAACACACAAAAAAAATTATATTAGCATTGGTTACAAACTTGTGTTGTTATAAAATAAATTATAAACATCCATATAAGCTTTACCCTTCTTTGCACATTTATATACATGTTAAAATAATTTTAAAAATATGTATTTGAAAGAGTATTTTTTAATGGTAAAACAATAGGCATCACATTACAAATCATTTAAAGTGGTAGCCCAGCTAACAGGGAATATTCTCAGAACATTCTGGCAAGGTTCTCTCAAAGTTATGAACAAATGTTCCCTTAATAGAAGTGATCTGGTCTTTAATAATGTTCTCAAAACGTTAGCATAAAAACATTATTTATACATTATTCATGGAATGTTTTTCTTGAAATGTTTTAGCTGGATGTGTAACGTTTCTAATTGCTACTTTCTTTTGAATGTTCAGACGATATTCAAAAGTAACATTCTCATAATGTAAATGGAATGTTCCCTTAATGTCTGAATAACCAAGAAAAAAAAAACTAAAAGTGTTTCAAACATTTAAAAAATTGATTGTTTTGAATGTTCAGAGAACATTCAGAAATAACGTTTTTATAACTTAATAGGAGTGTTAGTAAAATGCCCTTAAAACATATTTTTCTGAGCTGGAATAGCGATCACTTCCACTCTGAATGGAATTCTGGAAACCCAATGAACCCCATTCAAAAATAAACAAAAATTCCTTGCTGTTGGGTTTTGCTCACAGAGCTGCAGTTCATCCCAATTACTGGCTCAGTTTTAAAACAGGAGCTGGAGAGACGGTGGGGCAGTGGTACAAAGTTGGAAAAGGAGCTTACAGGATGAAAAGCTCAATCCTGAGATGAGGATCAGAGAATGAGCTTAAGCTCTCGAAACACCGGAAGCAGCTGCTCTTCAGTGGGACAGAGAGGTCTGACACCCAAATCCCATTATCACAGCAGCCAATGACCAGCCGCTGATTCAATCTACCTGCAGAGATTTACGCATACAGAGCACTAATGCAAGATAACACCCTAGTTTTCATGGCCCCGGCATCTTTTTTAAACACTTGCATCAAATGCAATTGGAAAGGACATGAAATCTTCAGAACCATGTTGATTTGTGGTACACTTACACATTTAAAGGGACAGTTCACCCCAAAATTAAAGTCCTGTCATTATTTACTCCAAACCTGTATGACTTTTGTTCTTCTGATTTGTCCGTGCAATGAAAGATAAATCCAATTTTGGTCAAACCAAATTACATTCATCAAAATATTGTCTATAATATTGTCCAAATTGGCCTAAATAATGTCCTGTTTATGGAAACCAAAACTGTTTGGTTATGAACATACCAACAATGGCAATGGCATTGTCTAGGGACAAATTCATTCTTCTGTGGCACATAAACTAAGACATTTTGAAGACTGTTGGTGACCAAAAAGTTTTGGTTCCCATTGACTACCATTGCAATTTTTTCCATATAATGGTAGTCAATGGCATTTGACAATGACAACATTTTGACCTGAGGGTGAATAAACGATGACAGAATTTTAATTTTTGGGTGAACTATCCCTTTAAAGTCAAATTAGGGTTTCCTTTGATACCGTAACATTCAACCAGCAAGACATTTAGTTAAATTGCTAATGAGTTTATTTGAAAAAGTGACAGGTAACATCATATCACAAAAAGGTATTGAATGACATGAGGACATCCTCTTATGCTTCTGGAACTGTATTGTATTTAAAACGAGTTTCTAGTACAAATATTGATGTTTTATACAAAAGTAGTTTTGTATAAAGTAGAGCACTGGTGCCTCCAGGGCCGTTGCTACGTAATAATGCAGCCCCCCTTCTCCTTGAATGGGTTCTTGTCTTCTGGGATGCCCTTGATCAGGGGGTCTTCGGCAGACTTCCCCTCAACAAACGCAATGATCTCTGGGGCTGTTGTTGATACCTTAGAAGAAGAATCAGGAAAATGGTTTAAGGATGTTTATTTCATTGACTGCCACCATCTTGCTCAGATTGGAAAACAAGTAAGTAACCCATCAGAGGATGTAGCAGCAATTGCTACAAAAGTTTTGGAGATCTTAAAGGGACAGTTCATCGAAAAATGAAAGTTCTGTCATCATTTAATCACCCTCATGTTATTCCAAAACTGTGTGACTTCTGCGGAACATAAAAGAAGATATTTTAAAGAATGTTGGTCACCATACAGTTGCGGTACCCATTGACAAAAATTGCAATGGAAGTCAGTGGGAACCAAAACTGTTTGTTTACCAACATTCTTTAAAATATCTTCCATTATGTACCCTAAGCCATACAGGTTTGGAACGGCACAAGGGTGAGTAAATGATGACTGAATTTTCATTATTAGGTGTACTGTCCCTTTAATGGTTGGAGTTCCTACCGCAGTTCGGGGAGTGTTCACTTCCAGCTTCAGCTGTTCCAGCTCCATCTTCAGGATTTCTTTATCTGACATGTCCCGAGCCATCCTGCCTATTCGGAGGAAATAAATGAAAGATATAAGTGAAATTAAGCTCAACATTCAACACTAAGGCCCGGTTTCACAGACAGGGCTTAGACTAAACCAGGATTAGGCCATAATGCAATTACGACACTTAAGTAATTTTTTATAAACGTGCTTAGAAAAAAACATTACTGGTGTGCATCTTAAGACAAAACACAGGCAGTGATTTCTTTTAAGATGAGTCAGTGCAAGTTTCTTTCAGTTGAAATAGCTCAGACTTACATTTTAGTCTAGGACTAGGCTTAAGCCTTATCTGTGAAACCGGGGGTAAATCTCATAAACAATGCTTGTACACTGTAAAAAGTGATCCATTGTTTCCTTAAGATTTTTCACCCATAACATTTTATATGATTTAATCGATAAAAATTAGATAACAATTAGATCAATTTTAAATGATGACTTAATGTATTTAGGTTGATTCAGTGATATTACATTTTTTACTTGTCAGTGCAAGTTTCTTTCAGTTGAAACAGCTCAGACTTACATTTTAGTCTAGGACTAGGCTTAAGCCTTATCTGTGAAACCGGGGGTAAATCTCATAAACAATGCTTGTACACTGTAAAAAGTGATCCATTGTTTCCTTAAGATTTTTCACCCATAACATTTTATATGATTTAATCGATAAAAATTAGATAACAATTAGATCAAATTTAAATGATGACTTAATGTATTTAGGTTGATTCAGTGATATTACATTTTTACTTGACTAAAATCTATTTATTTAGATGATATTTTTAGGTTACCATTTTTCAATGGTTTGTTAAAAGCACTTAATGTAAAAAAATAAATCATAATTATAAAAATACCAGAAAAAAATGCACTTAGTGTGATTATAACATAAGAAAATGCTTATAAAAAACAATATGTTCCAAATCAACTTAAAAAACAACATTTAGAAACTCACTATACATCAAAAAGCTGTGCATTTATAGAGATGTTAAATTTGATTCTTTGAGCATGTTTTACAAGAAAATACTATTTCAGTTTTTCTACTTCAAAATTTCACATTTAATTCAATGTGTTACATGCCATTTCTTTGTAATTACTTGTGAAATTTACCAGCAATTTTTGGGTGAAAATTGCTACACACTAAATGCTTTTCACTGTTGCATGAAAAAAACAAAAAAACAAAGTCCTAGTGGTTTCAGTAAAATAATGATTTTTTTTGACCGTCCTGTAAATGTAACAAACATAAACAACAAAAAATCCTCCATTTACCTGTTGAATGGGACTCGCAGCAGCCAGAGAAATGTCCTGGTGACTCCTAGGAGATCATCAGCGTGCAGGTTCTTCGCCCGCTCCTGTCCTCTCCGTCTGTGAACAGACTGAGCTCTGATCTCTGGGTCTTCTCCTCTATTTCTGTTGTCCGGACCCCTCCTTCTCCTTGCTCTTTCTCAGGTGAAGGGATTGATCCTGGTGGGGATTGCGCTCTGATGTCATCGATCTCCCCTGATCTCATTAGGCCAATGAGAGCAAGTAGGACGGCCGTGCAGAGGAATCACCTCTAAACAACATTGAAATACTGCAGGAAAGGGCAGCAGGATGGACCGAATGTGGAAAATTAAGAGTGCTGCCATTCTCCCTGAAATTGTGCATTGATGGAATTACATGCAAATTTGTAGCAAGGACTTATGCATGTAAACTTCAGTCTAGAAAGAGCTCAGTGTGATTCGTATAATCACAGGCAAGAAGCAGAGCATTGGTTGAACATAATCGGACAGCAGAAGCAGTATATATTCATTTCCTACCGTACATGTCATACTGTGCTGCCTTGAACTCAATTTAATATCTTCAGGTTTGTTTATACAGCACATTGTCTTAACATTTTTCATCAAAACAAACTTTTTTTTTTTTTTTTTTGCTTTGGTACTATTTTCAAAGCTCTTAATATCACAACAGATCATCAAAAGTGCACTTTTTTCAAACATTTCATCATATTTTCAATTGTCTTAGTACAATACACAATAACACAACGTATCCTTTTCACTACACAAAATAAATGTTTCATCTAAAAGTTTCATTCACAGTAACAGCCTTTCATAAAGCTCTTACCATCAAACTTTTCATTTGCATGTCTTCTCATTCAGTTTAATACAGGAAAAGTTGTGGTGTTGCTGACCTTAATTTCATCTCCTCATCATGCTGCTATAGATCTCTGTGGAGCGCTTCACCGTGCTAAACAACGACTTCTCCTGCATAACTTATCTCCCTCCCACACACACACACACACACACACACACACACCTCGAGAACACCAGCATCGGCCTAGCAGCACATTTCTACAACTCAGTGCCTGCCATCAGCATCACTCACAATGAGCTCTACAGCGGATGACTAGTAATAAAAGGCAGAAAGCTTGACTTCTGGGTAGATGTGGGAGGACAGTTAGCTAAATGGAAATTCAGATGTGCAACAAATAACCATTTTAACCTCAGTAATCATTTTAGCAACATTTGATATGTTAAATTTAACATCTATCTGTAAATATTATAAAGAAAAAAAAATGTGTTCAATTGTCATGATTGGATATATGCATTTAACAGATTAATATATTCATACTGAATTTAATATATTATTATTATTATTATTATTACTGGCTTGATATGCAAATTAAAGAACAAAACAGTGAAAGTATGTTCATTTGTAAATGTTTGTGTAAATCTCATGCTTAAGTGGCATTACAAAATATAATCATTTATTTATAATATATTTATTAATTGAATAATTTATTCATCTAAAATTAAATAGGAGGCATTACAATTTTTTTATTCACTTTGGTACCATTTTCACAAGCAACTTACATTTTCAAAACTACTAAAACTACTACTAATATCACAACAGATCATCAAAAGTGCACTTTTTTCAAACATTTCATCATATTTTCAATTGTCTTAGTACAATACACAATAACACAACGTATCCTTTTCACTACACAAAATAAATGTTTCATCTAAAAGTTTCATTCACAGTAACAGCCTTTCATAAAGCTCTTACCATCAAACTTTTCATTTGCATGTCTTCTCATTCAGTTTAATACATTTGTCTATTATTTAATCTAACTCATCTTAATGGTTAATCAGCGAATCATCTGGTGCATCTATAGATATAGATTCAATAGATAGAACTTGTTTGCAATTTAGGGATAATCAAATGTAATGAATTATTTTTACACTATAAGTGATTTATCTTAGATGATAACCACTATTTTGTAAGTGTGTGTGTGTGTGTGGTTCAAGTAAACCCTATGTTACGGGGACAATATCTGAAATCCTTGTCCTTGTGGGAGACTTTTTTTTTGTGGCCCTACGAGGAAAACCATAATTTTCATAAGAGTAGGTTTAGGAGTAGGGTTAGCGCTAGGGGATAGGCAAGGTTGGCAATGTTGAAGTAGAAAGAATGAAATAGTATTTTTTGTCAAATTTACTCCAATAATTTTTTTATTTAAAGGGGTCATATGATGCGATTTCATTTTTTCCTTTCTCTTTAGAGTGTTACAAGCTACTTTAAACCGCATAAACACATTTCATTACACCAAATACACAAAATAATGTTCTTTTTAGCAGCATCATATGACCCCTTTAAAACTTCAAAAAAAATAAAAATTTTTTAAACAATGTAATGTATGACATGTTCTCCAGTTAATATTGTTTACAATCAGTCATGAAGTAAAATGTGGGGTTTTGGGTCTCTTAGGTGCTAAACTGAACATGCAAACTGAACTCAATTCTCAGATGTTCCTCAGGTATGTTTGGCTGTGTTCCACTGGCATCATGGCCCAATAAACTGCTCAGTGCAGGATTACTCCTGCTACAATCTGCTTAATAACTGCAATGCTTTCTTACATTCCCCATGTTGGAAAAACAAGACTATTATCTGATGATTAAGAGTGTTTCAAGTCCAACAAATCACGTCTAGGATAGTTTTGGACGTGGCAGTGGAGGAAAACATTGCCAGAGACGTTCACCTGACCTCAACGGGCTTACATTTATAGTTGCTATGTGTTTCCACTCATACGTCTTTGCTCTTCTGAGTGCGTGTTGAACTCTGGGTAAGCTTGTTGTGGCACTGGCCTCACCTGTAAGCTGGTTTCTCTGGATCTGGGTTAGGCCCCCTTTGTACAGGATTAGCAACCTTGATTCATGATGAGTGACTTTACTAACCAGCATATGCTGGTTTTTTCAACAGGGCATACATTGGAATGTGTCCTATTTTATTTTTTCTGAGCAAAAAATAATGACTATGATAAATTTTTACCATGATTTACAGAAGTCAAAAAATCAGTTTTACAGTGAAGGAAGAAGCAAACATATGCTGGTTTTTTCAACAGGGCATACATTGGAATGTGTCCTATTTTATTTTTTCTGAGCAAAAAATAATGACTATGATACATTTTTACCATGATTTACAGAAGTCAAAAAATCAGTTTTACAGTGAAGGAAGAAGCAACGCAATCATTGTTTGTAAGCCGTATGCAACTTAATATGAACAAATATTGAGGGAGATGCATTGTAAATAAACCAGGCCATGCGTTGTCATGGTGACGTACTTTCTCTAATGCCAGTGCTGACAACTGACTCATGGTTTCAGAGACTGTCACACGCTAAAGCTTCAGTGATTGAGCTAAGACTGATCAAGAAGCAAGGAGGATCACAGGTCATCGATCTCCCAGAACCAGGACACCTCGCTTCTCATTAAAACCACCTTTCACCAGTGTCATAGTCCCCATACATTCTGACTCACTGTTATTCAAAGACATCTAACTAGACTAGACTAAAGCATTATTTTGGTTCAGACTTTATCATTACTGAAAGAAATTATGTAGTATTATGTATTACATTATCTTTGTGTCAGTGTATTAAGAGTTAATCAGTTATTAATTACATATAATATGGATGGTTAGCATCATAAGGAAAATTTGAAGTCAGTATAAAAGTCATAATTTATGACACTTCAGTTCGCACAGTTGTTGCATTTTTATATTTTAAACACTAGATGGCACTAAAAGCATTTCCACTTATCTCAGTTTTTAAAGGTTTTTAGCGATATCATTTGATGTAACTTTTAAAAGCGATCATTTAGGACTAGGTGGATCACAATCACAGTAGTATGACTAAATAATTTTATTTATTTATTTATTTTTATTATTTTAATTTTAAGTTGTTTTATAGTGATTTCTGGTTCAACTTTCAAATAAGTCATTTTAATTCATCAATTTGAATGCAGCGTAATGGGGAAATCGGCTCTCTGAGCCACCATGCGCCCCCTGGAGGAATGTTCCGCTATGTTCCACATGAAAGAGTTACTATCAAGTAGCAAGGGTTCACATTTGCCAACAAGTTTCCTGTGTTCCTGAAAGGCGCTGCGATAGACAGTCGAGTCATTTCCGCGATTCGGTTCTTTTGAACAGTCCGTTTCAAAGAACCAATTCAAATAATTGATTCATGATTCTTACGTCACGACGTATGTACGTCCACGTTGCAGCCGTGCTCATGAAATTTTTCAAAGAGAAATTTGTACTTTGCCAATGTTATTGGAACTTTATTATGCTGGCATTGTACTTATTCAGTTATATTGTAGCGTGAGATACAGAAATGTGTCAAACATATTCAGTATTCAAGACCTCTCTCATTTTTACGGAAAAAATTACTTTTTGGCTTTATTAAATATTGTAGAGGATGAAAAGCGCTTTTACTTAATTATATTTGACCAAATTTCACATTCATTAATGCAAGTTTACTAAAAAATAACCCCCCCCCCCGCAAATTTATGGTTTTGTTGACAGAAATATAGTCATATTAGAATCTTTGAATAAAAATGTATTTAAGCATTTATTTGATATTTTTATATTCACATTATTACCCCTTTCTATAGTTTTCTGTTTATTTATTTATTTGCATAAATTGTACAATGTTAAACATCTGCATTTTGAAAGAAAATGAAAATAAAAAAGTGTAACCTAAGTGTAATTTGTATTTATATTAAACTATACTAATATTCATTGACATCTACGACAACAGTTCGAAGACGAATCGCTCTACTGATTCGTTCAAAAGATTCGATTCAAAACAGCGATTCATTCACGATCCCTAGGAAGGAGATGATACTTCCGCCATCCTGAGCCATGGCTGCTGCAACCCGCAAAAAAGCCCTGAGATTTTTCTCTCAGTTCGGAGCTTTTATCCTGACCCGGTTCGGCTTCTGGAACTGCTTCAGCATGTTGATGCTGTTCGCGGAGCGAGCGGATGTGAAACGGTACGTGAAAAAACCCAACTAAATGCTTGCAGTGACACAGTATAAACACGTGACATGCAGCAGTTTAACAAAAGAACATTCACAATGAAAGCGTTCGTGTTTTAACTGGATTTGGCAGTGGTGTTTGCGCATCTCAAAGAGTTGACAACCATAGTTTCCACTGCT